AGGGCACGTTCTGCATGGAGCACTGGGTGTTATGCACAAACAATGAATCATGGAACACTACATCAAAAACTAATGATGGAATGTATGGTGATTAACATAACATAATAATTAAAAAAATGAGGAAAAAAAATACAATGCATCGTGGCTGTTTAAGAGATAGGCAAAGGTAGAGGAGCCCATAAAGCAAGCTGAGAAGGTTGGACCCAAGTTGCAGGAGGAAATGCAAGATAACGTTCATCTCTATGAAGATTTCATAAATTGCATGTTCTAGAACAGTGGTTTTTCAGACATTAGTGTGTAACAAAATTACCTGGGGTGCTTACTGAAACTTTGTTTCCTGGAGCCACTCCCAGAGATGTCCATACAGCAAGTGCAAATTAGTAGCCATTTCTGTATTTTTAATTGGCATGCAAGATCTAACATAGTTGGTGATTCTTCAAATATACTTTGAGAAACATCCTTCTAGGAGACAGGGTGAAATGGCTGAAAAAAAGCAAGTCTTTGGAATCACTTATGTTAGGGTCCTGGCTTTTACAGTCTACTCGTGATGTGGCCATGAGCAAATTGGTTGTTTTAAGGTTTGTTTTTCCACCAGTGCTGGGATATAATAAATACCTTCTTCCTCTTAGACTTATTTCATGGTATATATGAGATATGTTTAAATTTCTGGGCCTACAGAAGGAGCTCAGGAAATGTGAGTTGTCTTTGTGTACTTAAGAGACCTAAAACACAGCTGTAAACCTAAAAGGCAGTGAAAAAGTAGAAGGAAATAGCTATCATTAATCTCATGCATTTTGTTTTGTAAGAGATTAGAGCCAGCTCCTTTTTACCTTGAACCTACTGAGTAAGAATTGTGTAAAATTAAGTTACTGATTTAATAGATTTTATTATCTAGTTTCTCCTGGCAGACTTCAGTTCTGTAGACATTAAATCCGAACAGCATGATACAGACAAGGTTAAAGTGTGAAACAGAAGATGAGGGAAATTTAATAGAGGGACAAACACCTCAAAAATCCTGAGGGCATCAATGTGTTATAACATAATATAAAAGCTAAATACTCAAATTAATACTAAATGATCAAGAAAATGTTATATTATGTTTAAGGGAATTGTTTGAGAAGTCAGGGAAGTATATCTTTCAGAAAGATTTCTATTATAACGACTAACATTTACAAGTGTTTGGCACTTAAAGGAATAAGCTTCTGCTATTTGGGAAGTTCACTTAGATGCACTATTGATTAGTCTTTTGCAGTTTTGGATAAATAACTTATATGACTTTATTTCCCGTTTGATTGGCATGTTACTATTTTTTTTTAACAGTCTGTCTCAAGCCAGCAAGTGTCCCTGAAACTATCCTGGAAGGCACTGTGGAATTAACTTATATATAAATATATCATTTATATATATAACGTATATATAAATTAACTTATATGTAAATCTCAAAATATAACATATTAAGTTAAATATCTGCTATATGGATTGTCATATAATGCTATGGCTTTCTTCCTTTTCTCTATCTGGAGGAGATGCTAATGTAAAGAGAGAAGAGCAGAGTCTTATCAAAGCTGTGTCTACGCCAATTTCATGTCTTGAACTTTCTGTCCCACATTGGCTAATAAGAAAAAAGACTACTTAATGGTTATGCATTTGCAAAAGCTATTGAGAAAGAGTTATGAATTTCCTTCATTCTCTTCAACCTTTCTGGTCCCATACTTCTACCCTCACTTGGATGCATATATGATTGTTTATTCCCAAATATTCATCTATCAGCTGAATAGGTCTAGGTATTCGTTTCTTTTTATTATTAATTTTACTTCGTTAGAAAATACCACCTTTTGTTTTGTAGACCTAGATCTGTCTTTGGCTGAATGAGGTTTTCTTCTGTTATATCTTTGATTATTGGCTCTGTGTTATTTGTTACTCTTCTGGAACACCCATTTTTTCTTATGTTTTTGTCAGTCTTCCATATCCATCACATTCCTCTTTTCTCTTCCCCTTTATTCTTTTTTTTTTCTACCTACCGGGGTAGAAAGTTTTAGGGGTGTCTGATCTGATTTTTCAACATTGTTCAAAATTTTCAACTTTTTATCACTTTAATAAGTCATTTGTTTTGCTGCTGCATTTTCATTTCCTTATACAGTATTTTCCCCTTATTTTATCAGCTCCATTCCAATTTCTGTCTCAGCCATTTCTCTTTTTATCTTACATTGTTTTATCTTTCACATCTTTTAGATTTTTTTTACGTTGTAAAGGATACAGAACAATCATTTATATCTGTTTCTCCTACTTTGCTCTTGCTTTTTACTTCTTGAACGCTATGTTTTTGTATCACATAGTATTTTTATGGCACGTGTGTTCCTTTGTTTGCTTTCCCTCTTTTACTTATGTTTGGAGGTTGTATATCCTTGTCTCTGTAATTGGGGTGCTTACCTCTAGATTGGATTCGTGGCCTCTCTCTGGTTCATCCGACTAGAGGCTGCTCATGTCCTCCTCTTAGACTCTAACAGAAGATCTGGGACATGGCCCTATAGCATAAATCCCGGAGGTTTTGTCTAAAGTGGATCTGCTAGTCTAAGGAGAGGTCACCTCATTTGGCTGCCTGGTTGTCTGATTTCTAGATAATCTAGCCCAAGAAAGTTTTCTGCTCCCTGCAGTTCTTCCAAACTCAGTCTTTGTGCCAATTTTACATCTCCAGGTGTAAACCACTCCTTATGCATTTCCATCCCCACTGATGTTACATTGCCAAGAATTTCAGACCCAGAGGAGTAAAGAGAGAAAGCACGGGCTTTAGATGAGATGGACCAAGTGATTAGAGCAATTGAGCCCTTGTGCAGCAAGGGAGCCACCTTCTTTCATCTGGTCTTTGAAAATCCGTTTTTTCCTGGAAAGTTTAAAGAAATCTCTCAAAATTGTTCTGTGTGGCTTTACTATTTGGCCTCTGATTATTTCCATTTTTTGTAATGAAAATTAAATCTTTTGCCCATCTAGCGGATCACTGAGTAATATTCCTGGAGCACTTAAATTTGTATCCTATGTGTATGTGTTGCAGTGGGAAGGTGGAAAAGGTATGGTAAGGTGTTACTAGAGTTCATCTCACCATTCCCGTAATGCTCCCTTGCTTGTTTTAAATGCTCGATAATAGATTTTTTTTTCCAATGAGTGGATGAATGACTTAGTCTTCTTTGAGAATTTAAGGTTAAGCAACAGTGCTTAACCATTTATTATTTTAATACTTTTCCCCAGTAGTATTTTTCTAGTTAGATATTTTGCAAAATATGTCCTGGAAATACCAGTTCCATAAAAAGTTCTGTGAAAAAAGGGTTCCATGGACAAATCGTGTTGTGAAATGCTGCGTACTATCTTTCTCATAGAAATGTAATCAATATGTAAATATATTAAGGGCCTCAAGAAGGCCTGGAGTAACAAAGCCTGGTTAACTCTTTTTAATTCAGTATTTCCCGAACTTATTTGATCATAGACCCTATTTATTTCCCATAAAACACACTTTGGGAAGTGCTGCTCTAAGTTTTGTTTTTTTCCGAACATCATAGAGTACATTGTAGACTTTTTCCATAAGGCAAACTTCTAATTTTTAGATCATGGAGAGTTTTAAAATTGTGACTTAATATGATTAGAATGTTCAGATTTAAGTCAGGAATTTCTAATTCAGATTTTTCCCCCTCATTTGATGTTTTGAACAAGATATAATCTTAATAACTTTTTAAATGAATCTTTTTTTAAAGATTTTATTTATGTATTTGTCAGAGAGAGAGAGAGAGTGCGCACAGCAGGGGGAGAAGCAGGCTCCCTGCTGAGCCAGGGAGCTCAATGCAGGACTCCATCCCAGGACCCTGGGATCATGACCTGAGCCGAAGGCAGATGCTTGACTGACTGAGCCACCCAGGTGTCCCTCAATAACTTTTTAAAAAATGTATGTTACTTCAGCCATTAAATTAGTGTATTAAGAAAAGGAGATAAATGTTTTATTGGTTCACAGAGCTGAGAGAGCCTTCCACCCCATGATAGGAAGCATTTCTAGATTTCCCCCGAGCTCAATAAAAGAGACAGTTGCCCTTACTCATGATCTTGGAAATTGCAAGTTAACCTAGGAAGTAAACCTATAGTGGTGCAGCTTTTCTATCAAAATGGTGTACCTGGGTGAAGTCGGAAAGCAGACTAATTTTATCTCAGTCTCAGAGTTTTAAATCCTTTGTTGTATTCCTCCTTTGTCTTGAAAATAATATCTGACTAAAGCTCAAGTTGTCTTTTCTTTTGTCTCCTCATCATGTGGCATTCAGCCATGCTTTACTAGCTTACCGGTTCACTGACTGGTTAAGAAACCTACTTTTCTTTGGATTTGTTTCAGCAACTAATGCTTCCGTGCTTGCTTTACCTCTCCTTTCCATCCAAATGCTTTGTTTTCCCCTCATAGCTTTTTATAATTAGTAGGGGTTTTTTGCTTTGCTTTTAAAATTTACAGTTCAGTTTGTACCAATTTAGGAGATATTTTTTAAAAGAAGAGCCGTGTTTTAGAGACTTTTTTGGAGGTGGGGTGTTGGAAGGTGGTAATGAGAAGGGACAGTGGTAAAAAAGCCCAGTGGGTTTTCAGCTCCAGGTTTTCCCACTGGCTTATAAATCTGAGAGAGCCATGGATTTGGAGTAGGTTTGTCCAGCAAGTTCTGAGTTCCAGTTCTTGGATTTTCCTACAACAAAGTGTCCTATTCCCATACTTCTTTCTGAATAAGGCTATTTGTGGACCTCTTCCTCTTGTTCCCTAAGATATCCTTTGTGAACCCAACCATCCCAAATACTTCTGTAATTTTAGAATTAGAAGTGATACCTAGAAACGATTTAAACATTAAATACTATGAAAACAATATGACCAAAAAAATACCCGTTCAAGAATTGACAGAGAAAATCTAAATAAAAGATAATCAACTGGGCATTTATATTCACTGCAGAAAATGAAATTCTAACTTTTGTTTTATCTTCCACAGACAAGCAACAGAAAGGTGAATTTGCAATAGATGGTTACGATGTCAGAATGAATAACACTCTCAGGAAGGATGGAAAGAAAGATTGCTGTTTTGAAGTCTCTGCTCCTGATAAACGCATCTATCAGGTTGGAGTTTTTGTGTTGTTTTGAAATTAAGTTGATAAAATGTTCTGATTTCATTTATAAAGCCATTAACATTTTGTTAAAACAACTCTCTCTGACATGTTAATAATAATAAAAGATACTGATTTTATACAGTGAACATTCATATAAGAAGAAGTACATTTTTTAAAAAATATTTCAGATTAGTTGTGATATCTTCTCTTGAAAGGGAACAAGCGAATATGTAATTTATCAGCTACTTCACATGTTGCGTTTTATAACTTTTAATAGCACTACATGATTTCTTAAAAGAATTACATAGCAGAAAGAGTAAAATTATCAAAAGAAAAATATCAGCATGTTAATGCGTATTTTCTTGCTTAGGGTTGTGGGAGAAAATGAAGGTAAAGGCACATATCAGCTCTGTGATTCAGGAGCTATCAGCTAGCATCGATATGGAATGTATGTTTAATAAGTTTTAAATATCTGAGATTGCAGTTGAAAGCCAGTTAATTAAGTTGTCAGGTAGTGTGTTGGAATCTGACAAGAACATTTTTAAGAAGACTGTACCCGGCAGTCTGAAGAAATTCATGGGTGTCTTCTAATTGTCAAGGGCAAATTTTGTTCATCAGTTCTGTCTTTGACATTGATGAAGAGAAGCAGCTTTTTTTCCTGCACAGCTGCCAGCTCCTGATCAGAGTTTCAAATCCATCATCCTCTGCTTCAATTACGTAAATTTGTCAAAATTAACTGTACATTATAAGAAGCATCCTTGCAAGAAAAGTAGTACTAGACATGAAAAGAATTACTAATGGTCTTAAAGAAGTGATAAGAATGCGACATACCTTTTGTTTCCACTGTGGTGAATTTTCTTATTATCGTTTATTTTTTTGTTAGTTCACAGCACCTTCTCCCAAAGATGCCGAAGAATGGGTACAGCAGCTGAAATTTGTATTACAAGGTAAGAGCAATCAATCGAACTAGTCATTGCAGTCTTTAAATATTGAATAACTGAACGAATTTGGATTTGCATTTACAAAAGATTATCGACTCCTGTGAGAATGACCAAGGGAATGTGGCTAGTACTAATACAGACTGTTCACTTCATATTTATAAAAGTGTTTTTTCTGTTAAGTACCAACTGGCAACTTTGCAATTCACATATTTATGTAATAATCAGTTGCTTCAAGTTAAGGATATAGCATGTGACTCTATTGGGCTGCATTTGTTTAGAAAATAGGGTTTTGAAAATCTCTTTTGCATTCTTAAAAAATTTGCCTTGTGCAACATATTTTTCAGACATGGGATCTGATGTTATTCCTGAAGATGATGATGAAAGAGGAGAATTATATGATGATGTTGACCATCCTCTACCAACCAGCAGCCCACCAGCAAGCAGCCAACCAACTGATGATGAAATTTATGAAGAACTTCCAGGTATTTATTATCTGGTGATTCATTTAAGGATTTTTAGGGCTTTTTTTCCCCCCCCTAATGTCATATATTATCAAGTTGACAACTTGAATGGAAATGGTGAGCTATTAAAAACAAGGACAAAGAAAATCCTCAAAATTCTATTTTATGAAAAGGGTTCTGCTTGAGGTATTTCAAGTGAGTGGATGTACACTTATGAAAAGTGAGTGGAATGTTAAAATGGAGCAGATACAGTCCTAATCTCATGGGACTTTTGGCTCATTAGCATTGTTTATGCTACATAATTTTTTAATTAAAAAATTGACTTGCCTTACAGTTTTTTCCACCAACTCACACATCATTTTTTATTTATATATCTTGGAACTTTCATTAACCAGAAGTTCTGTGCACACCCCATATGTCAACAACTTCTGCCTCATATATTCCTCTTTGCTGCGGTGTATTGCATTGTCTTGGAGAAATATTGTTGTACTATAAACAAAGGCCTTTTGAGGCTTGAAGTTTTCTCACTTGATATTTTATCATCAATATGAATACGTTTTCTTATTCTACATTTTTAGGCATTGTTTAGTGTTTACATGCCTCAGTATCTGTCACATAACAAAATTAATTGTCTACTGGCTATTTGACTTGTATTTTTGAGGGTCAAGCTAAAACAGAATAGGCATCACAAACTTAGGATACCTAGAATATGAACACATTCAGGGAATCATTGCCTTACTAATACTGTAGGTTGAAATGAACTTTTTTTCTGTCTATTAAAAAATCACCAGTTAGAGAAGAAAAAGGGATTCTGAGCAATGTGAGATTTAACCAACATCTCATGCAGAGAAGTTGTTTTTCTCTGAATAGAATGATTTTTTAAAAGTTTTTATTTCTTTGAGAGAGAGAGAGAGCACAAGCAGGGTGAGGGTCAGAGGGAGAAGTAGAATCCCCACTGAGCAAGGGGCCTGATGCAGGGCTTGATCCTGGGACTCCAGGATCATACCCAAGCCGAAGGCAGACCCTTAACTGACTGAGCCACGCAGGGGCCGCTGAATAGAATGATTTAACAACATAGTATAAACCTTTAAAATTGATTTCAAAAATACTCAAAATGTTCCAAATTAACATACAAATATCATTTTCAATGAAGTCAGTAGAGCATAGTAATAACTAGCACGTGGAATTTAGAGTCAAAAAGTTTAAATTCTGGCTGTCCCATTTACCAGCTCAGTGACCTTAAAAGTTGTCTTTTCCTTCATCTGTAATTCTTCATTTTCATCTATTAAAATTCTTTTTTTTTCAATCAGTAAAATGGGGATAATATCATGGTGGGGGAATGAGCTCTCAGCACACTGCTTGAATCATGACAAGCCCACAATAAGTTGTAACGTTATTACTGTATCCAGTAAATTCTTGCAAGTGCTTATATGAAACTATAAGAATGGTTTTCTGCTCAAGTAAGAATTAATGATTGTAATGGTATTATAAATTCAAGTACTACAAAAAGTACTCAAATATGCATCTACATACTGTTTTTCACTACCCTAGAGACGATTAGTCTAAAAGCATAATTGTGTGGGGAATAGTAATCTGTACCTTTTTATTATTTTAATGGAACTCTATGTTTATAGCCCCTTCCTTTCTGATTGATCCTAGGGAAATGGCATCTGCCATAGTATTAGTTATCCTCAAGGTGGGAAGAATATTTTCTGACCTCTTGTTTTTAGTCACACCCTATCGTTAACACATTTATTTCATTTTTAAAAATGTTCACAAGAGCTTGCGAGAATGTATACCGATGTAAAACGGAGGGAAGTGGTACCTTTGAACGTATTATTGTCATACACCTTTTATTCCTTTAAAACCCTGCAGTGAATGGATTACATTATAATTGTTGAATTGACTGCTCATTAAGTTCTGTGTTTCTTCAACTTGACCATCCTCTATCCACCACTCCGCCCCCCACCCTCCAGAAAACTATCAGTCAGGAGTAAGGATTGAATGAATATTCGTAGTCCTCTTCCTAACAAAGGTCCAAGGAAGATCTCCTTTAAGTAGCTTGAAATCTTAAAAATATGAAACATCTTTTATTTTCCCTCACTACAGATGTTCTACTTCATCCTTTTTTTTTTTTTGGCCTGGGGCCACATAATTGTTGGAAATCTGGTTGCTCTTTAAGAGGTCTTACTTCTTGCTGAGGTACTGGAAGAAATCTAAGCTGCTCTGGGATTCCTTGCCCCTGCCTGGGATCTCAGTTGCTGTACAAAGTGATTGAGCTTGATAGAGCCTGCAACTGTGCCCTTGGGAAGGAAGCTGGGCTAGGCAGCTGTGGAATGTCTCCTTCTTCTTTCTTCCCCAGTGTACCCGAGAACCGCTTCAGCATCTGCACAGTTCAAGTCTGTCGAGTCTGAGCCAGCCACTACAGAGGGGATTTTTCTTAGTGAAAGTCCTCAAGCTGTCTCTCAGAGTTTGTTGAGGTTTTGTTTGACGAAATATCTGAAACTAGGAAGTTGCTTTTCTTCCTTTAAAAAAGGATCTCTCACTCAGGATGAACATGGAGGGAGTTGCTTTCACTTCTGTGAGATATGAGTACAATTTTGAGAGGAGGGGAGGACAGTGGAAGAGCAGTGAACACATTCACAAACTGTTGCTATTTTTTCAATTCTGTACAAAGAATGACATATCTCTGAGGTCTGACTGGTTAAATTCCACGAATGAATTAATACTACTATTTCACCGCAATTTTCTGTCCATTCTATATAGTTGAAAACTAAGCCTCTTAGTTGAAAGATGGAGCATACAAATGTGTTTGAAGGAAAATCTAAGTATTCAACGTGTTACTTTAAGTCACAGAGTTCTTTTTCTGAGAAAGTAAAGCTCTTATCCTAATGAATATATATTTTTGAATGTAAATAAACCTGAATGTGTTTAAGCCTTAATAATAAGAAGAAAACATTGCTTAAAAAATCATATTGCAAAATATCCCTTGAAACGTTTTGAATTCTCTGGGAGTGTGAATGGTCTCATTGTGATTGTTTTTCAGTGAGGGTCTTCGAACTTGATTACAGCAGCTTCTCTTTAATTTCTTGTTCATTAATTTTTAAGTAGTTTCGCCAAAGAATAAGAATACATTCTTTGTGCGTAGGGGATTTATGCATATGTACAGAAGAGTGGAAAGAGGGCCATTTCTGGGGAGTAGGAAAGGCATCTGGCTTTTCTTCAAATACACTAATGCTTTGACATCTTTTATGTCTTGGCACCTCCTCGCCTGGGCCACTCAGGTTTGCTCACACGGTGATATTACTGTGGCATATTTGTGTTGGCACGACTCATATGTTGATCAAAGTGTGTTAGACGGTTTCATAACAGTCATGAGTTCATTCGGCTTCGCACAAATTTCAGAAGTCGGTGCTCATTTTTTCATTAGAAATACAGAAGAACGGTTTTGTTTGATTTTTGAATCTTGAAAGAGGAGAGCAGTCCTTGGGGAATGGCTACACAAATCAGCCCAGCTTTCTCTTCTCTTCTAGTTACCACGTCACTTGATTCCACCCCCCCACCCCAAAGTCAGGAAATTGTGCAGCAACAACAATAAGACTTTTTAAAGAGATAGACTGAATAGAATCGGCCCCGTAACAAGAGTAGTAGTAACTGCCCGTCAGCCCCTTAAATCTCTAGCTTTCAGGGGAATTGCATTTGAAATTCTTCTGTCAAGTGGACTGGAAGAGAGAGGGCAAAATAAAACAGGAAGACAAATTTCTAATTCCATTAACCTATTTTTTAAGTGTTAATTCCTTTTTTTTTTTTTTTTTCCCGTAATGACAGATTGAACTATTCTGAGCCAGAAACAAAGGATGTTTTTATCCTTTGGTCATTCAAATACATTTTAAATGTATTCATTCCAACTGTCTGTATCGAAAATGGAATATAAAGTAAAATGCAGCTGTAAATTTTTTTCTATGAAAACTATTATGTATACGTAAAAAAGAACAGCATTCCATTCCTTAAATTTAGAGCAGTCTCCGGCAAGTGAATACGAATGCTAACTTAGTCAGTGAGTGGTCACGACCCCCCTCAAAATACATTTTAGCTTTATTTTCCTACTGAATCATTATCACTCGTAGTACCAAGTTAATATCAAGATTACAGGGGGCTCTGGAGTCTCTGGTATTAACATCACTGTAAGTGATGGTTGGTCCTGGTTTCACCAGAGAATTTTTCTCATTCCTTCTTTGGAATGTAGTGGAAAGATGCCAGCTGACTTTCACAGAACCACATATATTCAGCATTTTAACATTGTTAGTCCAGGCAGCCTGCTGGCATCCTTTTTTCTTAAACCATGGTACTGAATTGTAAAGTTATTAAGTGTGGTGATACAGTATCCTAATACATGATATGATAAGTATTTTTCCCCAAGTATATAACTAGATTAGAGTCAATTTTGGGGTGGTTTCAGCTCTGAACTCTGCTAAGAGGGTTATCTGAAGCTCTAGAAAATAAAGGAAATAGCTATAAATTAGGGTCCCTGCGCACATCTAATTGTTTATATTTTTATCTTTGCTGAATATAAATGTGATTTTAATGTTGTTTATGTTGTCTGTTTCATAATATGGCATGAAGCTTTGGAATACATTGTGCCTGTCACGTAGCTTTTCTCTATCATTGGCATTGCAAATGAATTCATTCCAAGAGATGGTTTGACACATATTAAAACCCAAAATACCTGTGTGCATGCAAAAAACATATGTCTGTCAGTAGGAAGATAGACTAAACCGTTTTTGCAACTTGGAGCTACATCAGTGGTTCTCAGCCATCAGAAATTTTGGCCCTCAGGGTACATTGAACGATTTAGTGTTTGGAGGCATTTTGGTCACCACAACTGGGTTGTATATGTGTTACAGGCATCAGGTGGGGAGAAGCCAGGGATGCTGCTGAACATCCTGTAGTGCACAGGACAAGCCCCACAACAGAGAACTGTCTGACCCCACATGTCAGTAGTGGTGAGGTTGAAAAACCCT